TTCGTGTGGTCACCGTCGTCGCGCTGTTTTCTGTTGTCATTATCCGTCGCTCTCCGCCGATATCGTTGCTATATCGCCTAGCCTGTATCGTTATCGCCCCGCGATGAGTTGACTCCCCTGGTATAAATTTGTTGTTATTTTTGTTACTTTCAATTTATAATTCGCCGTTTGCCATTGTGACCAGTTATTATCGCACAAGCACAAGGGCGTTACGTCAAAACAATACAGAACGCGAATAATAAAGGAAAAACAACATAAGTAAGGCAAAGACATTGCAAAAAAGCTGAAGCGCAGTTCGCATAGTTGTGATCCTAATCGGAATCCGAATCCAAATCTCTGGCGTTACAACATCCGCGATAAAGAACAACGTCACTGGCTAATCCGATCAGCTAAGCTCACTTAGAATGAAATCAAGGGCATGAGTACGCAGCTTAAAATAAACCGAATTGACGTAGAAAAAGTCACAGTCGCTCTCACACTCTAACTAACTAAGTACACACGCACGTGTGCTTATAAATAAATTCGGTTAAATAGTGTTTAATTTATAAATTTCCAGCTTGGACTCTCGTTGTGTGTTAGTGAGCATATATGTATATATCTATGTGTGGTTGTGTGCGTGTGTGTTGCAGTTCCAGTGAAATGTATCCAGCTTTTTTGAGCCAACCACTTCAACTCGCAGATACATTGAGAAATGAGCCAATTGCGGGTGATAAGTTAATTTAATTATAAAGTATGAGTATGACAAGAAATACAAAAAAAAAAAAATAAAAGAAAAACAGTTGTAGTGCAAGCGAAAAGAACGAAAGCGGAATGAAAAGGAAAAAACGAACAAATTCCTATCCAAAACACACACGCGCAAAAGCAACAGTCGCAGTGTGCTTGTGTGCGTGTAAGTAACGCTTAAACGAGGTAACTAGCAGAAGAACAGCAACAACTGGACAGAGGGAAAGAGACAGGCGGTGAAGCGGAGAGAGCGAGAGGGCATCACAGAAATAGCAAATGTGTGGGGCTTCATCATTGTCTCTTTAACGCTTATTTTGTTGTTGTTGCTGCTGGTCTTGTACTATCTGTGTATCTGCGTATCTGTATCGGGCGTGCCAAGGCTTACGATCCACAATCCGCACAACGACAGACATGCACACACGGTTAGCCATACAAAAGCAAATCCAGCTGGAACGGTTGTGGAACTTATCGCGAGTGTCTTGTGTCTACAAAAAAAAGAAACACTCACACCGAGAGAGATGTGTAAAGTGCGATAACTGATAAGAGACATGTGTTGTTATCTAAAACCACCCACCTTTCACTTTAAAGAATCCCCCAAGCGCCCCTCAGGCGCCATGTAAGAAAGTTTACAAATATCCCAGATAAAAACAAAGTTAACCTATTCCTCATGCACAGAGACACATTTAGCAGCAGTTTAATACCAGTTTGAACTCTTCAAATGGGTTATAAAACCACAATTAGGCAACTGACAATTCAGAACAGAACTTATAATTTGTATAGAAATATAAATTTGTGAGTTACAAAACATAAGCTACTTATTAGAGTCTGAGATTTATATGGTACTTTCATTTTTAACAAGTAAATTTGGTTGTGCAACCCACAGTTTCACTGGCAATTTTAACTGGCTAAGCGGCTTGCTTAATGGGACTATCAATTCTTATGATATTGTTTTTACTCTGCACATTGCGAATCCCAATTATTTTTACTCAGTAAGATTGGCACGGTGAATGTGTTTGCAATTTAGTGACCGAGAGACTGTGACTTTTACTGCGATTGCTTCTCCAATGTTCCTCATTGTGTTCTAATAGAATTTAACAAGATGGTCTTTTCGAAATAAAAGCGACAAAGCTGCGCCAGAATTGTGATTGCTGTGCCACAAAATACACAAAACGAACAAAATTTATTCATACTTTTATGCACACAAATACACACGCATTCAGGGCTCTCAATGTTTACACACGAAATTCGCTGTGATAATTGCCAACGCGAAGAACGAGGGAATATGTGTCTCAGTTTCGTTGCAACTGGGCCAATAATCCGTATACCGTGAACACCGAGTCGCGTCGAGAACGAAGAAACACACCGTCACCCAACCACAAACCAACCAAGTGAACCGCCCACCGCAATACCACCAAAGCACCCACCATGGGCCAAACTTCCAGTCACCGGCATATGCACCACAGTAGCAATAACAACAACAAGGAGGAACCACCACAACCGGCTTCACAGTTTGGAAATCGTCGAACCTCTACCCGCAAGTCGACTTCGTCTTCGAAACATTACCCCACATTGGTGCAACCATTGCGTAAGGATGAGCTCTCCCTTCTGCGAGATTCACTCCTGCGCAATGGAAGCATTATGCGCAAGAACCCGGAACGTCGTCCGGTGACGATCAGTGAGCTGAAACCAGTTAATCCCGGTCAGGGGACTTCTGGTAGCGTCCTGCCCATCACAGCAGAGGATGCAGCCGGTGGCAGCAGCAGTAGCACCACCCAACTGATGGCCTTTCAACTGCCCGTGGATCGCAGTGCCAAGACTGACGACCTGGCTTCCGATTCCGCGGCTGCAGCAGCAGCAGTTGTGGCGCCCAAGGAGGGGCGCAATGAGTTTTATATTGTCGGAGATGGCTATCATCGGACGGATCACTGCTACTACCGCAGTCCCAATGGCGATTTCCACAAACTGCCATCGGACTCCTTTCACAAGATGTCCGAGGGCTGTTTTGTGCGAATGGCAGATGGAGTCTTCCGTCGCCTAGAGGTACCCACCAAGGCTCAAATATCCCGAAGATCCAGCAAGGCAGAGGAAATAGGCGATGCCACAAGTCAGGGAAATGGCAGTGCCGCCACCAATGTGAAGAGCCAATTGATGAGGTTTCTTAATCGCTCCAAGAGCCACACACCCGCAACCATTGCCAAGCTGCAGCGTGAAAAGGAGGAGGCTCGGGCGGAACGAAAGCAGCGGCTATCGAACGCTCTGCGGCAGAAGAATCTGGCGGCCACAAATGCAGCCTCTGCTGCGGCGGGGAACTCATCCTATGCAAGCGGTGGTGGGGGTGGCACCGTAAGCAGTCGGAACAATAAGATCGTGGTGACAATGATCGAGAACGGCGGCTTGCCCATTGTGGCCACCAGCAAGGCGGAAAGGCCCAAGGCCAAGGAGTCGGCATCATCCAGTGACAAGGCTCGCAACTCGAGGGTATGTACTTAATATTGGATATCGAGATGGAATATTCCTCTTATATCGGGTACATCCTTAATAGTTGTTATTATCTATATTATCGATGGTTGCTTACATTTTATCGAAAACCTTCGACGGTATCCCTACACTATACTTTTGCATCACTTATATAATGACAATATGATGTTGTTTGCGTTATTGGAAATGTTGTTCCTTATTATATTGGAGATTAGACAGAGTTTTAGGCATGGGTATACAACCACTTGACCTTGCTATTCGATTTCAAGAGACAGGGGGGCCGTATGATTTACTTCCTTTAAAGAAAGCCATAAAGTTAGTCGGTCTCTCACAATCACCCATTCATTTATGAACATTGCAAATTTATCGTTGTTGTGCTGCCACCTTCATTCAATATAATCGTAATCGCTGTTTCCTTTTTGTCTGTCTCTGTCACGGTTTTGGTTTGTTTTCCACAATCGAATGAATTACGATTTCTATTATTTTGATTATGGATTTTGTTTAATTTCAGATTTTTGTTACCCCACATTGAATTCCTATAATCCATATGGAAACTAATATATATTTTCAGTCTAATCACACAAATGCTACATTAAAACCAATTGAAAATACGTTTAAAGATTAGGGGATTATAGGGATTACTGATTCTCTATTTCAAAACACCTAGTATTTTTAAAAAAGTGTTTGCATTGACGGGGGGACAAGTTCATAATAGTTGACCTCATTAATTTTCCCTGCTGTTAGCGAACATGCGAAACTCGGAATTCTATCTCTAATATTTTTGTTTGGAACTGAAAGGCTTGACTGAAATCTCGCTGTCTTGTTTTAATGTAGATTAAGCTGCAAGTTATTCAATTAGCTTAATTAATATGGGCACTTTATAGCGGCTCGGCTACTAGATACCTCGTAGAAATAAATTGAAACCCAACTTAGCGAGCTGCAAATTAACAGAAAGATCAAATATTCATATGAGAAACTTTCTGACATATGAAGGCGACACAAAAGTTACTCTCTTATTTATTTTTGAGTATACCTAATGTGTTTGGTTTTTATTGTATCACTTTTGTCCCTATACGTTTTATTGACCAATTCTATTGTATCAGTTAACAGATGACGTGCAAACATTTCATTATAGTCCTTTTGAGATTGCATTTTGAGTGCGGAAGTTTGTGTATTCTTCAGTTATTGTTCCTAGTTATTTGTACAGAGTGAGATTGGGGAAGATAGGGAAGTTGATTAGTGAAATCTTCGCGACGACCGTAGTTTTCCGACTAGATTTTAATAGATAAGTGTATATGTGATAAGGTCATCATGTCCTTTTAAATTTGTTACTGAGCACTCTTACATAATGCAATCCAAATCAACTGATTAACTCAGAAGGAAGCAGTATAACTTATTGGGTGGTTGATTGCTTTTAATAGAAAAGCAAAGTCCAATCGAAAGTTACTATAATCGTTGTGAATCAGGGAAGAACGCTTTGCGTAACTTGGTGGAACTTGTATATTGCGCACATGCGCAGAACACTAAACTCTGGCAGCAAACAAGGCTAACAGTTTCTTTCCCAGCGCTACGCTCAGTGGAACTCGCACACTCACACACCCGCACACCCTTTCGAGCTCCAAACGGGGCTTCTCTTTGTGAACAAATACACAGATACAGATTCGAATAGAGATACTCACTGTGTTGGTAGTGGTGGGGCTCCACCAGTGGAGAGAGCTGCCCACTGATCGTGTGCTTGTGCTGGTGTGTTGGTGTATTAAGGCCGACGCCGCTGCTGCAGTCGACGTCGCTGCTCCAACCGATTCCGTGCTTTTGGAATACTCCGCGCTCTCGCTCTCCGGCACTCCAGTTCCAGTTGCTGAGTGGCCAAGTGGCTCTTTGGCTGCTGAGCCCTGTTTAGCTTTGTTATTCGGTGTCTTCTGCGTTTTGCTGTGTTTTTGTTGTTGTTGTTGTTGTAAATCGTATAGTTGTAGTCGTAGTCAGTCGGCGACGTTTACGTCAGAGTTACACAGGAGGAGCAATAATTTAGTACCAATATCCAAACCCCCACGTAAAACGAGTGCGAAAAATTGCGAAAGCCGCGTGCCTCTGCGATAAGATAAGCGTGTGTGGCTAAAGAACTCCTCCGGCCAATGAAACGAACCTTTTAATAATCGGGATTTGCGCGAAATGTGATTTTTTATAGTCCATAGCCAAAGTGTAAAAAAAGAATGAAAATACTCGCACACTATCAAACGACCAATGTATATAACCTAACTGTGTTTTTCAGCAGTGAAAAAGTCGGCTCAATTGTCTAAAAGTAGTTCATTTGCTTCAATGTGTTGGTGCGCCCGTTTATGAGTGTGTGTCTGTGTATGTGCATTGGAGCTTTTCGCTTTGCTCACTGAAGCAGCGACGAAAAAAATGAAATAAAACTAGCCAGCAACTAACGACTCGTACGAACGAATTGTTCAGATACTTGTAGATCTCCACATCGTAACTATTTAGACAGTAATTAAAAGCAACAAAGGAAAAAAGCGAAAAGGCAAATGAATCATAAAACAGAAAAGAGAGCGTGGGAGAGAAGGGTGGGGGTGGGGACAGGAAAAGCGTGACACACACACGAGAGAGAGCGAGGGCATCTCAGCTGAGCTTGTGCAACAGCAGTAGAAGTAGGAGAGAGCAAATGAGCGAGAGGAAGACCGAAAACAAACACACGCACAAGAGCTCACCTCCACCACAGGTGTGTAGGTGCCAGTTCTGTTTTCTCTCTCGCGCACTCTCTCTTGCTATGTAGATGTGTGTTTAGGTATATTTCTCTCCCTTTCACATCCCCACATCGCCTGCCGTGTGTTTATTTCAGTGTCACCGGGGAGACAGATTAGCTCTTGTCCGCCTGTTGTCGTAAATATCACGCACACACACTCCACGTCCGCCCATCTGTACATACATATGTACGTAGAAATGGAAGTTGCTGGTTGTGTGTTTAATTCATTTTCGAGGTTTTAATGCGCAACAACTGCGACTTGTTGTGTGTTGGCTAGGCGACAAAAAACAAACAAAAACAAAAAAAAAACACGAAAGTAATGTTGAGAATTTAGAAAGCCCAATGCAAACGGACGCACACACATTCAGTTACTTCTGTCGGTGTGAGCTGAATTGTATTTCCGAAGCAAAGTTAATAAATTTTACAAACTCACAGTGTAAGAACAATAAACACGCCAAGCGCCATTTGAAAAAGAAATAAGAAAAAATAAAAAGTGTCGATCTCTCCGAGCAACAAGTACTTGTGCACCAACACACTCAAGGGAAGTAGTGCCACGACAAGAAAGCCAAAGAGAGACAAAAACGCAGAGAAACCGAAACCAACAGCAAAACGGAGGAGCTATGGAGGCCACCACTACCACAACACCTGACTTGAATCGCGGCGATGCCACCAGGAAGAGTGTGCGGCTGTATGCCGCCCGCAAGGGGGCGGCACCTGCACCGCCCAAGCTCAGTGTGGCGCCATCTAGCAACCAGAACACCAACCACAGCTGCAGCATCACCAGCAGCAGCAGCAACAACAACAACAATAGCAGCAGTAACTTGCCGGAAACGGAAAAGGAAATGGAACTGCGTCAAACACATCTTGCCAACAAGGATCTCGATGGAGCCATCGAAGACGACAGCATTGTGGAGCTGCGACGACGAGATGCCCAAGCCACTCCATTGCCCAGGATAGCCGTATCGGCCCTGCCCACCCTGCAGCCGCATCCCACGCCCAAAGAACGCCAAAAGCCGCCTATGCCACGCCTCCTGTCTACCGAAGACGATGCTGGTGTGTCCTTTGCCCTCGGCTCCATCGAAAAACACATTCACAACGTGGAGGAGAGCTTTAAGCAACAGCAGCAAAATCAACAATCCCAATCATCGATGGACGTCATGAAACTGGAGATCAAGCGCAAGCAGAGCAAGCGCTACGGTGAAACGGAAAACCTTCTGCGGCCGGGCATAAGTGACATGTCCTCCGAGAATGACTTTCAGTATTTGGGCGGCAGGCGGGTAGGCGAACTGGATGACAGCAATGAGCTGATGCTATCGGAATTTCAGCGTGGCAGCGATGGTCGTAACTCGATCGGAGCCTATTCCAAGAACTCGGCAGCTGCCGCGAACGGAGCAAATGCTGTGAAGGCTAAACTGGCACGTACTGCCTCCGACACGAAGAATAATGATACGGTGCTTGCCATGAGGGCCACTCTGAAGCAGAAGCAGCACTTGCAGGACGAGAAACAGCCGGCAATATGGCGACCAGCTGGTACTGCACCCACTCCGGCGGCCAGGAGCTCCTCCTCCACCACGTCCACCTCCGCCTCGGCCAGTCGTGGCGGTAGCAGCAGCAGCGTGGTTGATGGAGTGTCTCCATCTAAGCTAACGGCCACCACTATTTCGGCGTCCAAGCGGCGCGAGGAGAATTTGCGACAATTTGAAGCTTTGTTGGCCCAGAAGTCTTCACATCGTCATGGAGCCTCTTCTGGAGCATCTGGTACCTCAGGAACTGGAAGTAATGCAGCCAGCTCGAAAAGACGATCAGAGCGCCCAATTGTGGCGCCCATTCCGCCGTACAATTCCAGTCGAGCAGAGCCGGTGAACAGCTCGACCAGAGCCAGTGTTGATCCAAGCTCCCATTCGGGAAATGAATCGAGAACAGGAAATTCAGGAACAGGATTAACTCACCCGCATGTAGGAAATTATCGCTCTAGCCACGTACCCAGCGTGGTGGCAAACCGCAGCAATGTGTACAGCACCAGTGCTGCGCAGGTAAAGGTAAACAAGGGTATAAGCCATAATACATTTTTAATATAATTTTTATCATTTGGTTAAGAGAACGGGATACCAATGAGGTTTGAAATCACGTTCACTATTAATCGTTAGAAATGGATTAGTTAATGGGTCATAAAGTCTGAATTATTATACCGCAGAATTATTGGGCTTTGTTTTTACTACCACCGATCCCTGGTATACACCACAAAAAATAAACTTTACTTAAATATTTCACAACTATTTTTACAGGGTTCGCCTAACATGCAAATGCGGAGTAGTGCTCCTATGCGATGGCGCGCTACTGAGGAGCATATTGGCAAATATAAACTCATAAAGACGATCGGCAAGGGAAATTTCGCAAAAGTGAAACTAGCGAAACACCTGCCCACTGGCAAGGAGGTGGCCATCAAGATAATTGACAAGACCCAACTCAATTCTGGGTCACTACAGAAACTCTTTAGAGAGGTTTGTACTTGGTTTATAATAATATCTTGACATCATTACTAATCGTACTATGCCCACAGGTTAGAATAATGAAGATGCTGGATCACCCCAACATAGTTAAATTATTCCAAGTAATCGAAACGGAGAAGACGCTCTATCTGATCATGGAGTACGCATCCGGTGGAGAGGTCTTTGACTACCTGGTTCTCCACGGTCGCATGAAGGAGAAGGAGGCGCGCGTCAAGTTTCGACAAATCGTCTCAGCCGTGCAATATTGTCATCAAAAAAGAATAATTCACAGGTAAGAGTAACGAATGCTAATTAAAATCAGATGATTTATTTAAACAGCCTAGGCCAGACCAAACGCACATTAATATATTTGGCACCTTATTAACCGGAATTATTTATCTATAACAGGGACTTAAAAGCTGAAAACCTTTTGCTGGACAGCGAACTGAACATTAAAATCGCTGACTTCGGCTTTTCGAACGAGTTCACACCCGGCTCAAAGCTGGACACGTTCTGCGGTAGTCCGCCGTATGCGGCACCGGAACTGTTTCAGGGCAAGAAGTACGACGGACCCGAGGTCGATGTTTGGTCGCTGGGCGTCATCCTGTATACGTTAGTGAGCGGTTCCCTGCCCTTCGACGGCTCCACCTTGAGGGAGTTGCGAGAACGCGTGCTCAGAGGCAAATATAGGTAAGTTTTATCAGATAAATCGAAGATGAATGGAACTAAACGAAACCGCTTATCCCTACAGAATTCCCTTCTATATGTCTACTGACTGCGAAAACTTGCTCCGCAAATTCTTAGTACTGAATCCCGCAAAGCGTGCTAGTCTTGAAACAATCATGGGCGACAAGTGGATGAATATGGGGTTTGAGGAGGACGAACTCAAGCCCTATATCGAGCCCAAAGCCGATTTAGCCGATCCCAAGCGGATAGGTAAGACGGGTACTGTATACAAAATTCATTACTAATATTATTAACGAATTGTGTGTGGAATGGAGTTTTGCCTGCCAATTGCTCGTTGTGTTTTATTGCTATGTTATCAAGCGATCTTTGTTTATGTAATGTAATACTACTAGTATCTTTGTAAACTCTTTCTTTATCAACTTGTTTTAATTTCGTAGTTGAATGTTGCTTACGGAATCCCTTTTAATTGGGTTCTCCCAGTGTTGTGTTATCCTAATGTTTGTATTTTAAATTCAAATGCCTTCATGGTGTTTCGTTTGTAAATTCTCACATAGCTGCGGGGTCACAAACCGGTGCCAAGAATTCGCTCTCGATTCGGCGTAGCGCGTACACCTTGATGTTAATGGTCAACTTTCTGATCGACGAGCGGAAGGGTCCACCTAAAAATGTATGCAATCTGTGTAGTGGAAACGTTAACGCTCGACCCCCAGAGTTCCGCATTAACCCCCAACTCTCTGTTCTCTTTCTCACTTTCTGTCCTTAACATCCAACATACAAACAGACCGTCAAGGAAGATATCAAACCAGCTCAAGAGAACGGATAATCTTAAAATTAAATCAATCTTGAACAGCCAGCCAAGGGAAAATCGAATTTTTGTTTCACGATCTTGTTATCTTTTATTGGTTTTTTCTTTTACTTGTTGCCAGTGTAAATATCCGTTGGTATGTGCACAAATATACGACAAAAAAAAACAAATAAATGAGGTTCTCTGAGATAAATTTACAATTCTTTTTAAGTCGAGTTTGCATCCGGTTTGGGTCCTGTCACGCCGATGATAATTGTATTATTTAATTTCGCTAGCTGCATGGTCTAAATACATACATATATACCTGATTTCTTTTTATCCAATGTTCTTACTGCCATTTGTTCAGTTTAAGGCCTAAAGAACACACAATTCCGGCTACTCCAATTGAACCATATCAGTTCGAGTATCGGCGATTTCTTAGCCAAATATATAATGTAACTGTAATGAATTTGCATGCGCTACCTAATCGTATTAAAATGTCCACCAAATGTCTATAAAACTCTTCCACTTACAATCAAATTGTTTGTCATTTCTGCATCGCGATGATTAGAAGCTCTAGTCGCGATGGGCTACAATCGATCGGAGATCGAGGCTTCGCTCTCCCAGGTGCGCTACGACGATGTTTTCGCCACATATTTGCTGCTGGGTCGCAAGAGTACAGACGTAAGTTGGTGGCCTCCTCATCCCGACCAACAGAAGTGCTAAAAAGACTATTTTTTTCCCACGCAGCCGGAAAGTGACGGTTCGCGATCAGGCTCCTCGCTCTCACTGCGCAACATATCGGGCAACGATGCGGGCGCCAATGCTGGCAGTGCGAGTGTCCAGAGTCCCACGCACAGAGGCGTCCACAGAAGCATATCGGCGTCCAGCACGAAGCCAAGTCGCCGAGCCTCGTCTGGTGCGGAAACTTTGCGTAAGTCCCATTTTGGGGCTAACGGTTCATCTATAATTAATCGAGAGTAAAAACTTTCTTGGTCGAACATTCAGGATTAGGAAACCGACATTTGTATAGAGAAATTAGTATAACTGTCCCTTTTGAAATTACTAATCCGATGTGCGCTAGTTAATCGTCACTAAACTACTATAATTAATTGATACCATTTTTCTATTTCAAAATGTTTGCTTAGTCAGTAGGAATCTCTAAAAGCAGTTTTGTCCAAGAAAATTTTTACTTAGGTTAAACTTTGTATCAATTTGGAGAAGTACATATTTTACTTGAACGATTATATGTTTTGCAGGTGTTGGACCGACAAATGCGGCAGCAACAGTTGCGGCGGCCGCGGGAGCCGTTGGTGCGGTTAATCCAAGCAATAACTACAATGCTGCAGGATCAGCGGCGGATCGAGCATCAGTGTAAGTAACTTGTCAATAGGTGTGATATAAATTTTAAGCCTAAAATTGCCCCCGGCAGTGGCAGCAACTTTAAGCGACAGAACACAATCGACTCGGCTACGATTAAGGAGAACACAGCGAGGTTGGCCGCTCAGAACCAGAGACCCGCTTCGGCCACCCAAAAGATGCTCACCACGGCAGACACCAGTAAGTGCTACTAAGATGATGGATGAGATGAGCAAAGAAACTAATATTATTACTGAATTCACAGCACTGAACAGTCCCGCCAAGCCGCGAACGGCAACGAAGTACGATCCGACGAATGGCAATCGCACGGTCAGCGGCACAAGTGGCATCATTCCACGTCGCTCCACCACGCTATATGAAAAGACTTCGTCGACGGAGAAAACCAACGTTATTCCTGCAGAGACAAAGTACGTGAGAGTTAAGCTAGTTCTGATTATAAGTTCTAGTTTGAGACTTAAACAGCTGTACGAGTTACTCGGTTATTGTTTGCATCACAACATTCCCCCTTGGCAGACTTATTTAGCTGTTCAGTCAGTCGGTAGCGATGGCGCCTGCCACAATTATATATATATTATTTGCCTTTGGTTCGCACGCAAAACGATCTGATCATGTCGGATCGGATCCAGAGGTTAGATGGCAATTAGATAACGCAGCAGCTTATAACCCCATCAATACAAATACGTAGAGAAGATCGTTGGAAGATCGAACGACATTTAATTGTATATAGTCACGCACAGTTCAGTTCTCTTTAGTTGCCGTGCCTTTGGCACACTCAAAAATTACTTGTTTATCATTTTCCCATCGTTTCATTTGGTTATCTTAAAAAACCCGAAAGTCTTTCCAAACAATACCAAAACAAAGTCATATTTACGATTACGATTCTACCACTTTTCGGCCTAAACTTAAAACATGCAAATTACCAGCAGTGGATCGGCAGCTCCCGCTGGAAAGGGTCATACCAAAAGCGCGTCTGTCTCGAGCCCTCGCCCCTCCACAGACGGATGCGTCTCGGTCTCTAATGACCCACTCGGAACGAGGTATACACTTGAGTAATTAACAAAAAACGCAACAACCAAACAAACTAAATTCTCTTAGTTTGATTACCGCATTATTTAAAATTCAACTGCTTTCGGTTTCTTCTTTATTCTTTCAAAAAATTGGCTGGCATTTTATTTGTTTGGGAGAATTATTGTGCATTTCGACAATCATTTCGCCGTTTCATCTTCATGAATCATCGACTCAGCATCATCCACAAATACCTTTGTAGACCCGTAAACGAAAAAAAAAGAACAACTAGACATCAATCACTTTTGAATCTATATATGACCATTGTTCCGTCTGAATCCCAATCTGCCTTTGGTGTTTTGCCCATCTATTGCAATTTCACTACGTGTGAAAGTACTACGTGTAGATTTTTTACATGTAAAGAACTAGATAATAGATGGTATAGCTATGTCCCTGAATAGATCTGGTTTATAAAAGTAACTTAGAATTGTAAAAGCCCCACAATAACAATTACTTAAATACTTAAGGGTTCAAAAAGTGATCAACTTTCTAGAGGTATTTGTTCTGTGCGTGATATCTAATAACTTGGCTGTTGGTAACCATTATATAAAGGGTTATGTCGCAGCTTTAGATTTTTCTAAGAGCTTTGATTAAATACATTATTTAATCTTAAGTCGGACCTAGAATGGAAACACAACGATGGTCGTTAGGCTAGTGACTAAGCATCTATTATTATCCGTATTTATAAGTATTTATTAGGTGTTCTGTTTGATTTGTTTATTGTTCACTCTACTCTTAGTTTATAGCGTTGGCCTATCCTAGTTTTGTTCTATTCGTTTTGTATTTATCTATTTATCCAGTGTATTATTAACGACCTAACCAATTTGATCAATTGAATAATGTAAATTTCTTATCTTTTCATGTTTTTTACAATTTTGAACATTGTCTGTTTACAAACCAAATGTCTAATTTTGATAACTACTACACTACCACATATGTACATCCATTTTCTGTGGCGTTCTATATCCGCAACAACAAATAACACCACCACCTACGAATCTGAATCTGCAACAACCTCCTTCGTCCTCCTATCGACGCTCGCTCAATTATTGTACTACTCTACTATTACTACCTTTTCGATCGTACTCGTAATGCAAATTGAAAACCTGAACAAAACCAACAATAATCCAACAATTCAACAATTATTGCTAACCGAATCGACAACCAAACCAATCCGATTTGAAAATGCATATGCAATGTGGTTTGAACTGAATTCAATTTGGATTCGAACCGAACCAAACCAATCGAACAAATTCGGTGAGTGAAAATGCATCTTACGTTAAGAGATATTTATTGTGCCTCATTGAACTAAGGGTCGTGAGCGTGTCAAATACCCAATAATTGCATTTTCGTTGCAATTATTGCTAGCATAATTGAAGTATTGTAGTATTTTCTAATCGATGTCTAATATCTATTGCTCATTTGTATATTTCACGTAATTTTCGCGTAAGAAACAACGTATGCGAACACGACCCTTCACATAAAATGATATATTGCTTAAGTATATACAACTAGCGTACTGTTTGGTTACATTTTTCTGATTTTGTTGGTATACTTTTGTGATTCATTTAAACGAAATTCAATTGACGGCGATGCCAAGACATATTGCTCGACCTTTGCCCGCTTGGTGTTCCAGTAAATTGATAGGAACTACCAGATTTACACCCCCTTATCAAGTGAATAGTTTTTTATTTCGTATTCGCATTGGGAAAGTCCAATCAGTCGCCTGAATTTTAGCGATCGAAATCCAAGTTTCTAAAATAAGAACTCATTATTTTGTTTGTTTCCTCATGCATGTCTGTCTCTGTCAGTGAAACTCTATTGACTCTGCTACCATCGCCAGTATAATTGAATTTTTTCCATTATTGTGTGTTTTTGTTTATTGTTAATGTTATTACCTACCTACAAATACTTAACAACTCAGTTTGATATAGTCTGTTATTGTGCTGCTGTTGTAACTTTTGTACCTGGTCTTAAATACTATATGCTCTCCAATGTACGATTTTCATGTATCTAACCGTATAACTACTATATGCGTACTACTTCGAATAATAACTCCTACTTTTCTACGTTTATCGCGTATCGTATTAGGACATAATGCCTTAGACAAGCTTACTAGTTTGTGCCAATAAATAACAATCCAGTTGATAAAATGCTCCACCTGAAGTACAAGAACATTTACAAAATGGATTCTTGATAGTCAGTCGAACGCATGTCCCATCAAATAACGCTTTCATGTAGTTTGGAGAATCAAACCTTCTCGTTTGCCGAGCTTTCGAGTATAATCTACATTTTTGCATATATTCATGTCCATAAAACCAACGAAACAGTCGAAGTTTGTCGTATTCGATTTAATATCTAAGAAACCTATTTTTAAGTGCTTGTCTTCTTAAGAAAATTTACATGATCTATTTTTATTTTTTTCTTTTCATTTTGTTTATGTCTGCGACGTGATCGATAAAACAATATACAAAACCATAAACCCTTGGTTAACATCATCAATTTGTCACATCAATCAAACGAACTGCTTGATTCGCGCTGCTCTGACCATCTACACCCGCCTGCCGCCATCCTACATGCAACCCAATACGAAATCCAATCCCTACTGATCTTAAAAACAATTACGAACTACGAACATGAACTTCAATAATTACCAATTGGCCAATGACGCAACTGGGTAACGCTTTGATGATGATGACCCAACGTCCATTGCTCATTCCATTCACCAAACCATTATCTTTAACACTCATAACACGGGACGAACGCTCGAACGGTTCTGTACAAACGATTACAAATTTCCAAACAAACACAATCAACAAATATTTAATGGAAAAACAAACAAACCAAACCAAAAAACATAAAAAAAACAACAATCTTATACTGATAAAACCATATTCGTTTCCCGAAATGCGATTCATTGGATTTGAATGTACTCCGACGAACTGATTCGATACTGATTTGATTTCCATTCATACCTGTGTGTGCATATGTATCGTAATTGTACATATATAGTCTGTTCGATCGACTTAGAATGGCATCGGCTGTTAAATCAAGCAGACACTTTCCAAGGAATGTTCCATCACGTTCAACCTTTCACTCTGGTGAGTTTTCTGTTCACTTATTTTTATTAGTTTTAAAGATAATAATTTAATTTTATCCCCACCTTCTTCTACTAAAACATAAAAATAATTAAATAAAGCCGAACTGGGCTAAACTCATTAGTAGATGTTAACGCGTTGTCGAGTGATGTTTTTGATATTATTTTTGAAACTGAACCCGTTTTCATGCTGCATCCAATAGAACAATCCAATTGTATCCCGCACTGCACCACTTCTCCATACAAATTGCATATCAAACGCGCCTCTATTATTATTTAGCGTTATCAAGCGATTAATTACTATATAATCAACTCGATCGATCCATTTAACTGAATGTTTCTTTATGTTTTTATACATCGCATCGCTTATGATTTCCGCGATCCAATGCCGCACCCCTCTGCACGTTTGTCTAAGTGGATTCGTAAATCTAGTTCGTTTGCCTTTTATGCATCGAATCAACCAAATCCCATCCAAAACCGCCCACCTGTAAATATTTTATATATTTGTGTGTTTGGAAATACGGATGGAAAACTATTCATAGCGACCAAAATTAATCTACGATTGAGAACTGACATTTGTCTCTCTATATTCAGCTATCGCGCGTTCACTAAAAATAACTAAAAAATGTTGCATATGGGACAAAGTGCAATGTGATTACTAGTACGTGTTATCATTTAAAGTCAATAGTATGTGAGAATTCAAAGATAAATTAACAGATAGTAGTAGCTAACATTAGAAAAACAATTGGAAGATACGTTTTGATTTCGTAAAATGTATAAGTCGCTTCTTGTAATATCTTTAGATATTGCCAGTTAGTAAGTAGCTTTTAATGGTTAGTAATATGTTCACATTGCACTTTGAGCCTAGCAGTGGAGCCGTATGTACGTACTCGGAGTTATTTTAGTAATACCCTAGATTAAAAACCAAATGGAATCAGTTAGAATCTAGTCTGTGTTTGTGTACACACACTTGAGTGCGTAAGCGATCCGAATCTAACTATGGAATCATTGCAATCCCTAGGTCAAACCAGAGCACGAAACAACACAGCGCTGGAATACTCGGGCACCAGCGGTGCCTCCGGCGACTCCTCCCATCCGGGTCGCATGAGCTTCTTCTCCAAACTCTCCTCACGTTTTAGCAAACGGTAAGTAGTGCCTTTAAGATATCACGAAGTGGCAAAATTCATTTCTTCAGTTAATGGAATATTACAAGAAAAGCAAATGCAAACTGCAATTCGATACATTTATTATTCGTTTGTTATTCTTTCTTACATCAATTTGGTTAATTATTTTCTGTTTTTATTTACTTCTCGTTTGTTTGATTTTCTCTCGTTTATCATTTTATGTTTCATATTAATGTTTCATTTAATTGCATATCTGCCGCACACACATCCATGTGTGTTTATTATGCTCATGTTTGTATTTCGTACCGAGTCCATTCTGAGAGTCCGCCAATAAATCACTGAAGCTACCAAACGCGTTGCAATGCCATGCCCATCGAGCACATAACTAAAAAATCTCGTTCAAAAACACCCGTTGGATATGCAGAATTTTCCAATTCAAAGCAGGCTATAGTTGAAAGATGTTTCGAGCTTAGCTCTGAGGAAGTACAGGCGGAGAGGAATTATAGATCATAAATCCAAAAAAATTTAAGATGAAAAGGTATAGTCTTAGTTGGGATTATTGTAGACCTATAATGTATCGTCGAGTGTAGTAATCAGGGCATTATGACTGACAAGTACGTTTCGTAATTTCTGCATTAAAAAGTTTTATTTTCATGGACTGTATAGCACTGTTTTGCCTCTAAAAAGGGTGTTGAATAACGTGCACTAAAGTTTCAATGTTTTGGATATTCATGTGTGCCCCTTTACCCTCTCACAAGAATCACGCAATTAAACTACTTAACTGCACTTTGTTAAATTAATCATTTTATTGAGAGACAGAGAGAGAAAAGCGGGTTTAATTTCCAGGACAAAAAGTCATAAAATCCTAAAAGTTCCCCATATTAACCACAATAACTGCTATGCAACTGCGCAAGTTTTTCGACCGATTAGGATAGTTACTAATTAAAAGAAGACAGCCAGCACTTGCATTCGAACGCATGATGGATTAAAAGTGTTATGGGCGTTAGTTTATTATTAGTTATATTTCGTTTTAATGCGAGGAAGCTAGTTCATAATTATGAAACTGTTGATTACCCTCCACTAATGATATGCACATGTTTTGTATATGGAATTTCTTTTCTGTTTTTTTCTGTTTTGGTTACATTTTTTTTCCATTTGTTGAACTGAAAGACTTTCAGCAGAAAAGTATGTACTCTCTATGTACATATTTACAACAAACACCTAACACCACACATTTAACGTACACCCAGGACTTTTGCTTAAGACCGACCGCGAACTCGCATATGCACCACATCAGTCCGATGCACTCACTATGCCCCTAATTTATTGTGGTGGTTCCATTGGGTTAGGTGGATGTGGATCAGTGGATCGGAGAGGATGGGTGGGTGCATATGTCGGTTCGGTCGATTAGTTTAGACGCTCGCAATGCAATGCTAAAACATTTTTATTCCTATCCATATTTAGTTAGCATACGTACCAACCATACTACTTACATATGTATGTAATTTGTGAAATATACTCTTAATGTGGCTCAGCCTTAGAAACAGTGAATGACTGGCTATTCGGTCGGGATGTACCATATAATACGATCGAACAATAACTATAAACGAAAAATAATACGGAACTCAAACCATCACACCGATTGCAATATCAATATTCGAATCCATAATAGGAATCCGCCTCTGATTCAGGCAAAACAAATACATAACTAAACATACAAGCATATGTGACAACGTGCGAAAAAGTACATGTTATACGGAACTGAATCCAACTATATAATCTGAAAATAATAATCTGATGACGTCTGTCGCTTCCTCTCTACGCTCTCAAAATCTCCGTCACACCTTTAGTTTGTTTTATACTCGATTGATTTCTTACAAAAAGCATATATAAATATTACGTAGTTTTTCTAATCCTGTATATCCACGTTTGCTTTGTACAACTATGTACTTCCATTGTATCACCTCACGCTAGGAAGGCTCTTTTGTTCTTGTCTATTTCTTTCATTTATTAAAAACATGATTCAATTAATTACGATTATGCTCTTTGACAAATAGAAAGACAAAAATTGTGAAACGTACAATGTGTAATGTACTTATCAGTTGAAGAACAATTGCGTTTACTTTTCTTTTTCTATGAAGAAACATGAAAAATGAAACTTACCATTATTCCGTTTTATTCTTATCTGTCTTCTTTGGTTTCATTTCTGGTATTTGTTTTACCCATTATTAATATTTTTTCCAGCCGTGAATAATTTGTTTAAAATTTTTTCTTTAATTTTAGGCCAAACCAGTAATTAACAAAACAAGCATTAACTACTTCTTGTTAATAGTTCTAAAACTGAAACTGAAACAAACGATTCCCCTAGAGTAAACGCGCGTGACGGAGAGGTTCAGATATGAACAGACAGACACAGATATGGTCGAATCACGAATCCAATCGGATCGCTCGGATCGGATCAAATCGGGAAACGATACTGTTCACGTTGCCGTTGCCGATCCGAAATCGCTTTCGAATTCCATTTCGAGTTCAGATCCGTTTCCGGTTTCGATTCGAACCCCTTCAAATGAACACCGACAACGTTGAGTTCCGTTGCGTTAATTGAAATTTCACAAATACGCCTATGTTTTATTACAATTATTAACTAATTATACATATAAATTTATATAAATTAAAGATACATATACATATATTTAAAAGTAAAGCAACCACAACCAGAAATTACGAAACCCTTTGTTTTCATTGTTTGTAAAATGATGCGAGGAGCGACCAGCAAAAGGCAGTACAGAATAAATCAAGAATTATACAAATTAAAAACGAAAGGAAACCGATACAAACAGAAATCCACTAAGAAACCAAGATATGATATATGCAATGATCAGAGAGAATCCTGACTACAATTGCTGTCACTGTCACGATTATGGATTATATTAACTACTAAATATTACACCTACGAGTACTACCTAAACTACATATATATTTATGTTAAATGCGTATCGCAATTATAGTTATACAAACAAATATCACTGAGGAAGTGAACGTGAGATATAACTGCAAAAAGTAAATTAACTTAAGCCTAACTCAACTAAACCGATCTAAACTGAACTAAAGTGCGTGGTGTTTTCGCCTACATCATTATCTTATAGTAACCACAATAAAACACCAAAAGAAGTTGCTAATTTTGTAACGATGATCTTGAATTTTATTTAGCGATCTTTGTATTTATATGTATGTGTATGTATGTATGGATCTGTATTTGTATTTCGATATGAGCTTGAATTAAATTGTATCCGTGGATCATACAATCAATCAATATCAATATCAACCAACCAATCAACCAACCAACCAAGCAGCCAGCCAGAAAACTAACGATCTTGCAATTCATAATCACCCAGAAGCCAGATGTGCAGCGTATCTAGTAATTAAGCATACCACGTAGTCACTAAAAAACAATACAAAGCGATACATAAAAACCAATTTAACTTAAATTCAAGGAATAACAATGTATTACCACTAGTGCATGTGACCATTTTATTTGTACAGCTGATTATCTATAGATCGTGTTATCATCGGGCGCCTTCAGTGGCTCGATCAGTAGTTATCTATACATATTAAGTTTCAAAGAAATAACGCATAATTAAAACAATTGATAATTTAATAAATCCATAATAAACGATGTGAAACATTTGCGAGCAAAAGTATATCTCAACATGCATTTCAATTTTATTTTATTTTCCATTAACACTTGCATTTGCTGTCCAAGAGATTTCGGGTGTGGTTAAAACAAATGGGAGTTTGGTCAAAAATCAAATTTAATTTTTCCTATAAATGAGCCAGATTAAAATGCGAGTACAAATAACATCCTGAAAGCGTTGAAAGTTTAAATTAAATTATTTTTTGAAAGTAAATAAGTACAATGAATAGTTATGCAGCTTAAAGTGAAAAATCATATCACAAATTGCAATTCCAAGAGAGAATAACGTACAACTGAGAGAGAATAACGTACAAATGTCACTTAAATGACTGTGGACCGGGAGACTTTCGATTATAAATAAGTTATATATTTTTGCAGTCCTACCGCAGACGAGGCGACGAAGCCACGAGTTCTACGATTCACATGGTCAATGAAAACCACATCGCCCCTGATGCCTGAACAAATAATGCAAAAGATCAGGGAGGTGCTAGACCAGAATAACTGCGACTACGAGCAGCGGGAGCGGTGAGTGAATAAATGCATATCAGTGAAGCAAATAAGTATTTATTAATCCTTTACCGTACATCATAGATTCGTCCTGTGGTGCGTGCATGGAGATCCCAATACGGACTCACTGGTGCAATGGGAAATAGAAGTGTGCAAGTTGCCTCGACTCTCTCTGAATGGAGTGCGCTTCAAGCGAATCTCCGGTAGGATTTCTTTATAATATTGAGAAAAGCTGAAATAACTGTCAATTGTCAATTGATCTTCAGGCACCAGCATTGGCTTCAAGAACATTGCGTCTCGCATTGCTTTTGACCTCAAGCTGTGACTTAACCAAACGAACAACGAGGGGAATGCGGCCGCCACCGCCTCGCGGCCCACTGATCCATCCGACACCATGACCGCCGCCAGTTGTCGGAGGCCCAGCAACGACAGCACCTCCCGGCTGTCGGAGCTCTCTCTTCTATGTCGCTCACTAACCAGCCAGCAGGGCTCCCAGCGGCGTAAGAAGAGCAGGCTGTCCACCGGTGGCAGCGAGGATCAGAAGAAATCGAACTCGTTGCTGTCGGCGTTCCAAATGTACTCTCCCTTTAGTTCCAAGGAGAATCTGCAGTCCAGCGAGGAGGTTGAAGATTTACACGTGATTGACACACAGCCCGGACACTCCGTGGATGTGCCACTCTTCGCAGACTTTAGCCCAATAAATCCGATTATGGAAGAGGATTCTGAGGGCGTTGAAGGCGGCAAAACCAGTGAAGCCAGAGGCATTAGTGATGGCGGTGGGCAAAGGGGCAAAGGCGATGGCGGTGGCGGTGGTGGCGGTGGGGGCAATCGGTTAAAGAGGAACATCAAGCACACCGGGAGCCTGATTGTGCGCAAACTAACTGCCGGCAGGCATCATGATGCGGACAAGAAGGGTGCGATTAGGAAGAAGGATAAGGAGCAGCAGGACGTGGCGGACACGGATAAGGAGAAACCAAACAGCAAGCCGGAGGGCAAGGTAGCCATGCTGCGCACCACGACCCTCTAATGGAATGGAACACGGGCGTGGCATGAGCAATACGTTTATTTGTGGGGCAGTTTGTATCTATTGAATGAGTGAATATGAAGGCAATGCGGCGAATCCCTGCTGGAATCTCAAGAATTAATTAATGTTAGCATCTCTCCGTAGATCGAACGTATTGATATATTACTACACATTACAATCAAGCAGACAAACTCCTCTATCTATCCACACTGACATGCATTAGCACCCGCATAGATACGCACATATTTACATACGTTATTTATTAGGAACCTAGTTAATGGGCCAGCAATATTTGTCATCGCGCAGCATGCTAGATGAAACAGAAGTGAATATAAGGGTAACAGAAACACCACTCAATAAAGCCGTAACAATAAATATTAACAAGAAACCAATCAACGCTCTATAAACTGCATTTATGTGTCGATATCCAGTAATCAATTTGCTTGGCAAAACAAACGATCAAAGAACACAAACTCATAGATATCCGACTCGGGTTGTTTCTTCATTAAATCATACTTTCAAGAAAGTCGAATTTGGCAGCATACAGCGATAGTGTCGTGATGTGATTAGTTCACGATATGTCAATCGCCAAAGTTTTCATTCTACTCTATTGAAATGTGCCCAATCGCAACGCCCAGATCATGTATTGTAATTATTATGCCCGTGCTCGAATATGTAGTTGGTACTTATACGCGAAATTTTTGTTAATTTCCTTCAATTTGAACAGTTCATAGAACACCAAACAGACAGCAAATGTATGTATACTATTATTAAGGATTCAGGTTTACTAACAACACCACTCCGAAACAAGTAACAATGCGATGCAATGATGGCCAATGTTACCTAGTTTCCACCAAGTTCACTTAGCCCCGAGGAAAGACGAGCCAGTGGTTTTTAGGGCCGTTCTACATGCAATTGTTGAATGTTTCTAAAACATACCTTAGGGAGGAGCGATCTCAAGTGAGATGTAGAAAAAAAAAGACGACCATTTATCTTAGTTGTGGAGGCTCAAAAAACAGTCTATATATATACCAAAACATATACAAAGTTGCACATCAAGTTGTCTTCATCATGATTGTAACGCATTTCTGTAATTCTTAACTTTCGAGAAAAGCATGCATCGTTTTATATATTTGTTGTTAAATGACAGCTGATTGAAACTTATTAATAATTACTAGGACTAGGCAAGAACGCGCATAAACACACATACATAGGTATATAATACATGCATAAATATATAAAGCAAGCAGCTTATTACATATACACCCAGAGATATCCTTAGTATATCGCCGGACTACCTTCCCTAAAGGAGACATATACTTCACATAACTTCACCCCTTCTTTGTTTTTTGTTGTCAGCTATCTGCGGTCAGTAATATAAATCGACGCACCCAGATCCACATTGCACAATAGCTAGTTGTATACTTATTCTTATTTGTGGTATTTATTTTGATTTACAAACGGTTGAGTTAATGTAAAACAAAGCAAAATGATTGAGAACACCATTAAATCAGAGTTACGATAAAGCCGATTATAGAATTTACGAATAATCATGTTGTAAGAATATCTGATATACATACATACATAGATGTTTTAATTAATAAATAAAAAATGGCATAACTATAATTATTAATGTGCTTTCCTGGGTACAAATAATTTAAGCGGTTCGTAAGTCTTCTGCTCAAGGTGGCATGTGCGATGCGAGATTGTGTGACCTGTGTGTGGGTGTGTCCGGTGCTCTCAGAGCTCGTCATCTATGTTAAAGTCTTCTGGCGGAAAATCACCAACCGTAACGGATAAGGGTGATACGAAGCCGCCGTAATTTGGGGCACAGCTAAAGTAGGCCTTTCCACCGAAACTGCAATGGGAACATAAATGAGATTTGCGAAATGTGGAATGTAATAAGTATGTTTGTACGTATGTAATAAGTTACCTTCCATTGTTTTTCCCCAGTGGTTCGTCGTATTCCACTCCAATGAAGTGACCACTTTTCCCTTCAAGCGGACCATTATATCGGATCGTTCCTCGACGTGTTGGATTACCTGGAACCGTAACCTGGCAGAAAACAAGTTCTTTGACTAAATCGTTTTAAAACGATATATTTAGGTAATAGCTGTACCTCACATCTGCCATCCAGTACACAAAGTTCCGCCCGTTTTTGGATCTCCTCCGCTTGAAGGCGCTTCTTCTCCTCCGCCTGTTGCATTTCCTCATCGTTGTACTTGCCCATGCGATTCATCTTGAGGTAGTTGCGCACAGAATCGGTTCTCTGTTCGTACTGATCCTTGGACAATTCGAATTTCTCGACGGGAGCGCTGTCAAACGAGAAGGTAGCAAAGCTATCGATGACATGCAGTCGGAGGCCATCACTGTTGGCATAGTAACCCAGTTGGGCGTCGTTGTTGTCCATCGTGGACACGCAGGTGTCGCCCTTGAAAACCTGCACCTTCATGGTGCCTGCACATCCGCCCGTCAATATCTCCAGTTTGCTCTGAAAATGGAATATGAGTATATGCATCCTATTGATCCTTTACAAGACAGACCTTGAGCTGAGCAACTGTTAGATCCTTGGGGAACTTGACCTCGAAGGCGACTGCATCATTGTGCGAATTGGAAACATTCACCTTGATGAAATCCGATTTGCCGGTTTCAATTATAGCCGACATCTTGCCTTCCGTGGGTACTGTTGTGCTAATTATGGATAAATTATTTTGTAAACTTTTCCAGAAAAACCAGGTGGTATGCGGTTCTATTGAGGAAGTGACTAACAAAAACTTTGTCCGGTAGTAATAAAAAAAATGTACTAAAGCGTTGCATGGAGCTTAATAGAAAATACCAAAAATACCATATACCGTTGCTACGTTGTAACTATTTTTGAAAACTTCAGAGAAAGATGTTGAATGTTAGTTAAAAATGTATAAATGTTAAAAAACATAGTATTGACAATCTGCAGTTTGTTAATTAAATATTATACCGTGAAGTATATAACATTTTATTAATAATAAACCACGAACCATTGCAAAAGCCCTTGGAACCCTTTGGAAAGCAGAAAAAAGATCCGAATATTAGTGATATATCAAGTGTATTTTGTGCATTGCAACTTATGTATAATAATCTATTTTTGGTGTAATGATTGTGATGTGCAGTCTATTCGTTTGCTTCAGTCCTTAAATGATTCATTCTTAAGAGGCTGCCAGAATGTACGGCCTTATGTCCTCCACATCCAGGAGCTGCTCCGGAGCTACGTTCTCGCCACACATGGGACACTCTCCATTTTCCGACAGAATACTGTGAATAGGATACAATGAAGGCATATTTTGAAAGGCTAAGTTTATCCAAAGCTTACTTCTCCATCTCTGCGCGAAAGCAAAGAAAATCGCATTGTGGACATGAGGTCATCAGTTGCTTGATGATGTGCTGCCCAGTGGCAATGCAGATGGGCAGTGTGGTTTTGCAGCTGTAGCAGGTCACCTCCATATTGGGCAGGTTCGAGTCGCATATGGGACACTCCATGGTTTCGTCATCTATCTCATCCCGCAACTGCTTGATGCCCTTGGGAGCCTTGCGAACAATCGATTCGATCTTCTTCGCATACCGGGGATCCAATTGATTCCGATAATCTGGACGCATCAAAGTAGAGGCGTAGGTAAACGCTGACTTCTTTAGACCAGCTCGATGACACTCAATTACCGTGGAGGTGAGAATGGGAATGATATCTGAATAAATACACTGTTGTGATTCAATACAAATATCAAAAAACGAAAGCACTTACGTTCCGGAAACTGGGATATACAGGCGGCTACTTGGACGAGCAGCTTGGCGGCCAGCAAATGATTGCCCAGTTTGACGTGGATTCGCACCAAGGTATAGCGATGTAGTAAAATAAACTGATGCCTCATTTCAGCCGTAACGGAAAGATTGTTTCGTCGCAGTTCCTGGTACATGGAGTACAGCAGATCCCTTGCCGACTTGTAATTTCCAGCAATCTGTTCCTGATTTGCGATAATAACCGCCGTCTTTGCGGCATCCTTGTAGTGCTTCCTTGCCATGTACAAACGGAAGAGATAGCGTGGGTCTTTCGGAACGCCATCTACTTCGCCCAACAGAAACTCGATTAGCTGGGAGGCCAACTGTTCGTTGTTTGAGGTGGCCACACAGTCAATGGCCAGCGATAGCGAAACCTGCTCCTCGTTGTTGAAAGCCGATGCTTTGAGCAGAAACCGCAGGGCTTTGGTAAATTCTCTAGCCAGAAAGTAATACTTGCCCGCTAGCAGTGTATACTTTTCACCCTCAAAATAATGTGCCAGTGCCAAATAATCGGAGGATTTGGCATTTTCGTAGCGCTCCAAGAGCTCTCCGTGTCGCCTCAACTTGTTATGTCGCTGGGCAAGGGCAAAGGCCTCCTCTACGCAGCCGCAGATGACGAGGAACTGGAGGGCCTGCTCTACATCGCCAATCTTCTGGTAAAACTTGGCCAAAAGCTTGGCCGAGTCCATAGAACGCGACTCCAAAACAATTTCAGAGGCTGCATGCGGATCGCACAAGTGGTCCAGGTAGATCCTAACACAGGCATCCAAGTCACCTGCAATACGATAACTCCGTATTGCTTCTTCATAGTGGCCATCGTTTTCCTTTGCCTTGGCATAGGCGGCATGCAGTTTGGTGCTTTTCACCTTGGGTAGGATATTATTGGCTTTGTTCCACATCTTTAGTGCAATGTAGTGGCCACAGGCCTCATCATAGAAACCACCACGCTCATACAATCCCGCTGCCTCGGTAAGATGTCCCACGGTGGCCAACAGTTCCGCGCAGTCAAACAAAAGCTGCTGGTCTTCCAGCTCCACAGCATATTGAATCTTGAATATAAGAAAATGTTTATGTAAATATCTTCAGTTCAATATCAAATATGGATTTACCCCACGCCTGAAGTCGCCCGCTCTGATAGAGGTTCTTGCAATGCCCATTTTGCAGAGACGTACATGCTCCTCGTATTCGGGAGAACGGTCCATTAAAGCATCCGTTTCAGTGTCCTTGCTGTTGATTAAGTCCTCCTTGTACCCTTTCTCGTAGTGGTATAGGGCATCTGTATAGTTGCCACTGCAAATTAGAAAGGAAAATATATAAATACTGCTATTACAGGATTTGATGACTTACTTAAACTCCAATTGTTGGGCGTACTCCCTGGCTATATAGGGCACCTCCTGTGGATCGTTTTTGTGGGCCAGAAGCAGCGCCTGATCCCATTGCAGAAGATCTCGGCAGAGATCCAGGGCTGCTCTTGTATAAACTCCCTTCAGCATGTGTTCCTTGGCCTGATCGTACTCGGCCAAAATCGTACAACAGCAGCCGATAAGCATGTCCAGATCTTCCACGTAGCGCAGTTCAGCCAAAGCATTAACCAGGGCAGCATCACCAAGCTGGCGGTAGGCTCGAATGGCTGCAAGTAGAAGGAGTTATTATTTCGAAACTGAACTGAAGAGGATTAGAGTCACCTATATCCGGTTCCAGATCGGCAATGGCCTGCTCCCCAAACTCACGCCACGCGCTGCTCTGATTCATCTGCTTACACACCTTGTAGGCTTCATCGTAGTTTCTTAGCTTCAGAAGCACCTGAAGATTTGCTGCCTGACTGTTGCTGGGATTCACGACATGGGTACTGAGCGATTGTGTGGCATACTGGCCACCATCTATATGTAAAGCCATTTCTCCGCCGCAGAGCAGCAGAGGAAATTGACCCGGATTCAGCTTAGACTCACCCACCATCAAGGTGTGTGTCCCTTGTACAGAATGCCGCACAAAGACGTGCGTATTGACGATCCTGGCATCGTAGCTGATGAAGATATTCGGCTGCGTGAGATCCCAAAGGCAGCCAAGGCACTGCTTGGGAATGTCCGGAATGAGCAAGGCCTCCTCGACAACGGGTAGGAAAACATGGCCCTGGTAGTGATCATCTATAAATATGACCTTGGT